GTGGGAGGGGGCCTTTTGGGGGTGTGCAACCCGCTTCAGCCAGGCTCGTGAACCACCACCATCACCACCCCACACCACCACCACCACCACCACCACCACCACTACGTTTTCTCTCCGCAGGTATGGTTCCAGAACGCTCGGGCCAAGTGGCGGAGGAACATCCTGAAGCAGGAACACGAGCGCCACGTTGGGGACAAGATGAAGGAGCAGTCGGGGCTTCTGGCTGACCTGCGACCTGTGGACTCCCTGGGACCCGGTCTCACCGACCTCTACGCCATGTCCTCGGGAGATGAGGGCAGCCAGTCCTTGCAGTTCACGGACATGTGTCAGTAGGAGGACGACGCTGGAGAGTGAGAGGAGGCCAGGGGTGAGGGGAGTGAGAGGAGGCCAGGGGTGAGGGGAGTGAGAGGAGGCCAGGGGTGAGGGGAGGCCAGGGGTGAGGAGAGGCCACAGGTATTCACAACTGGGTCGAGGGGGAGTGTAAATATTAGAGTTATCCCCGAGTAGTGTTGAGCTGCACTTAATGGTAATGGCTAGCACGAGGGGGGGGGGAGAGAAACCTCACCTTGCCAGGTCAGAATTTTACATTGAAGGAAATGATTTAACTTTTTTAATTTGATAAGCATTTCCATCCTTTCATTTCTTACCTCCATTCCGGTTAATCACGACAGCTCAATGATAGAGTTATCGTGATTCATTGCCCTGAATTGATATCAACTTTGCGATCTGACAAAGGATATTTTTTCTGACAATTTACTGAAACCCGATAAACAGATGATACCTCAAGAGCACTGACAGTAAGGTAAACCCAAGGTGAAGCCCAAGGACCAGCGGAGATTTCACTCAGATGGGAACCAAGGGATGAAACTGTGTGTTCTTCGCAGCCTCCTTGCTTCCTTGTAGGGTCGACCCAGAGTCGAGTGTCAGGGCAACATCTCTCTGATTTAAGAACTGCTTGTCGGGAGGCAGAATTTGGTTAAATATATATATATGGCTGTGTTAGGTTTGCACAACATCAAGTTCATTAATGCTGCCGCTGATGTGAACTAGTAGAAGGATAGGTCGCACGGCTACCCACTTCAGCAGGGTGTAGGCTGAGGCAGGGTGTGGGCTGAGGCAGGGTGTGGGCTGAGGTAGGACAAAGGGAGGAGCCTCACCGTAAAAGAGGCCTGATCATGTGATACAGGTAAAGAACCTCATGGCTCCCTGTCAGTGTGAAACAATAGACCAAAGATTAGCGAGACGCATCAAGCACAAGTCAATGAGGCCATAGTGCCATGAAGACTGACTTGTACTGGGCTCAGCTTGGAAAAAAAAATCCTTTTCCTGCAGTCAATTTTGGAGAGTCCGACTGTGCAAGAAATTGTCTATATATATATATATATATATATATATATATATATATATATATATATATATATATATATATTTAATCTGAACCAGCACAATTAATAGCAGTCCTGAGAGCAACATAATTTTATAATTTTAAGCCTTCCGTTATGAGTATTATTACATTATTATTATTATTATTATTATTATTATTATTATTATTATTATTATTATTATTATTATTTGTTTTAATAGGGGAAAATAAACGCTGATTCTGCGGGAACAGAACTGTTACAAGTGGCAAGCATATGACAAAACAAAACAATAAAAAAGTCTTATGCATATACATGTACATATATTCAAGCACATGCAACATGTATATACACACATACACGTGTACACATGCGAGCACATGCAGCACTCCCGTGTTTGTACCCACCTACGACCATTAAAACTTTAATGAAAAAATATATATACCAGATCGACACGACTTGATAAAGATAAAGGGCGGACCGAAAAGGGGTCTTTTTTTAATTTAATTAACTTTCTGATGTGTGTGTGTGTTTTTTGGTCATCAGATCAACGTATCTTTATTGATCTCTTATTCACCTTTAAGTAAACAAAAGTTTACTTAAATTGCTGTCTTGATTTACACAACAGTCAGTATGTATACCTGCTTAAGTCATCACCAAAATAATGTTCCAGTTTGTCTTTACTTGACTTAACAGCCTATATATATACCCCGAGGAGGGCATTATTAGGGGGAAAGCGCCAAGCCATTACGACTATATAGCACTTGGAAGGGGTCAGGATAAGGATTTGAGACGGGACGGGGTGGTGGGGGGAGGAGGAAAAGGAATGGTGCCCAACCACTTAGACGGTCGAGGGGGGGATTGAACGCGAAACCTACATGAAGCAAGACCGTCGCTCTACCGTCCAGACCAAGTGATTGGGCATTAGCTGAATAGCATCAGCAATATATATATAAACATGCACACACACAAATACGTATGTGTGTGTGTGTGTATGTCACCCTAATACACCCTAACGAGTGTAAAAAAAAAAACAGCTGTACATTGTAACTCATGTAATCATATCATGACTGTTGGGGGACCTGTGTATTTCACCTGTAGGAATGTGTGTATATGATGATTATGTGTCGGGAACGGAGACCACTCGTGTAAAGTCTCCTAACAGGGCTATACACCACCGGCTGTTTTAACATGGATGGCTGCGTGTGTCAAAACCTTGCTGACCCCCCCCCCCCCCCCCTCCCTCTGGCGGACGGGAGATAATACTGAACTTGTATGTGTATTTTCTTTGTTAATATATATATATATATATATATATATATATATATATATATATATATATATATATATATATACACAGCATCATGTCTGTAAGACGAAGGGATATATATTCACTGTCTCCCTCCAGTAAAAGGAATTGCATTATAAACGTGACCAGACTCCTGATACAGGGAATCCCGGAGTCATGGCCGGAGTGTCTAGCTCTCCATCGTCCCAAGACCGAGGTGTGTCACGTGGCCGGGATGACATAGTGAACATGACGGCCCCTGGGGTCAAGTTGGTCTAAAACTATCACATGGAAATATGTAGCCTAAATCTCTATTGCCGGCAATTCCCCCGGACTTTAGGTTTTAAACCGAGGGAAACCTCACCTTCAGAGAGAGGACATAAGAGATCCAGTTGGTTTCGTGCTTAGATTGAGCACTTTTAGTGCTCTAAAAGGAGCACTTTTAGAGGACTCAATCTGCTATTTGGAGGAAGGGATTTTCCCCAAAAAATTCTCAACGATAAACACCTACATTTTTTTTTTATTTATATATACCAGTGTCTCTATACACTACAGAGGATCGAATTCTCTTGAACGGCTGTCACCAGCGAGACGTCGATATGTAGTTGTCTTCATCTGCCATGTGGATGGTATATATATATATATATGGTCGCCTCCCCCCCCCCCACCCCCACCCCCTAACCCCCAACCTGATCGTTTTCCATTTATAAAAGACGATAATGGGGACTTTATGTGGGCCGTGTTGCAGATAACACACTGTGTGGCTCTAGTCAAGTGTTTTGTACCAAAGGTTTTCTTCATCTGTGTCGAATTTGTTCCTTAATATCTACGTTTTTTTTTTTTTTTGTAAATACTCATAACATATTAATTGTGTATGACTAAGGCAATGTACCAAAGATTTGTAAAAAAATAAAATAAAAAAAAATAATTAATAAAATAAACTGAATTCAATATTGGAGAGTCTTTCTTTTTTTTCACATCCTTATGTACCAGTCACACCACCACCGGTACTACCACCACCGGTACTACCACCACCGGTACTACCACCACCACCGGCACCACCACTACTATCCCCCACCACCGGTACTACCACCACCGGCACCACCACCACCGGTACCACCACTACTACTACCCCCCACCACCGGTAGTACCTCCATCACCACCACCGGCACCACCACCACCACCGGCACCACCACCACCACCGGCACCACCACCACCACCGGCACCACCACAACCACCACCGGTACCACCAGCTGTTATGGTCTAGTTATATTATTCTCTATTAGATACACTATCAGTCAACCCCTACCTGTCGATCATGTTCATCGACCCCCTACCTGTCGATCATGTTCATCGACCCCCTACCTGTCGATCATGTTCATCGACCCCCTACCTGTCGATCATGTTCAGTAATAACAGGCGTCCTAGCTACAATACAGAATACATACAGCTCGTGAGTCAGGCCTTCATTACTGTAATATCCCTCCCTCCCCACCCCCCCCCCACCCCTCTCCCCTGGTAGTGTCGACTCCTCCATAACTAAACTGCCCAACCACTCCCACGACTGAGGGCTTGGAAGGGATGCAAGGATCGGATAGGCGCTGGGACACGAGGACAGGATAGGAGGTGGGATACGAGGACAGGATAGGAGGTGGGACACGAGGACAGGATAGGAGGTGGGACACGAGGACAGGATAGGCCCTGGGATAGGAGGATGTACGTAAGTACAATTCATGCCTTATGCTCTATCTCTTAAGAGTTTTAACTCTGCATCAAATTTTCTACATATGTAAACACATATTTATAAATGACTGGGGGGGAGGGGAAGGGGGATTAATTATATAAATATAGACACAAGCATAGAAAACAGAGCAAAAGCATTATAACACAGGACTGTTTTCACAATATATATGCATCAAATGGGAGCCGGTCGGCCGAGCGGACAGCACGCTGGACTTGTGATCCTGTGGTCCCGGGTTCGATCCCGGGCGCCAGCGAGAAACAATGGGCAGAGTTTCTTTCACCCTATGCCCCTGTTACCTAGCAGTAAAATAGGTACCTGGGTGTTAGTCAGCTGTCACGGGCTGCTTCCTGGGGGTGGAGGCCTGGTCGAGGACCGGGCCGCGGGGACACTAAAGCCCCGAAATCATCTCAAGATAACCTCAAGAGATCATATGCATATTTATGCTGGACATCAAATGAGTTATACAGTCATGCTGACTTAGCTATTCTTCCTCTTAAACAGAAACGTTACTTACCTTATTTTCGTTACTTAGGAGAAACTAACTTACCTTACCTTCCTCATCACAATTACCTTACCTTCCTGCTCCTAATTACCTTACCTTCCTTATCACAATTACCTTACCTTCCTTATCACAATTACCTTACCTTCCTCATCACAATTACCTTACCTTCCTTATCACAATTACCTTACCTTCCTGCTCCTAATTACCTTACCTTCCTGCTCCCACTAACCCAGCTGTGGACCTCAGTCCACTTACACAACAGCAACACGGCAAATAAACAATGAAACAAGAAACAATGCAGTCTCCGTGGTGTAGTGGTAAGACACTCGCCTGGCGTTCCGCGAGCGCTATGTCATGGGTTCGTATCCTGGTAGGGGAGGATTTACTGGGCGCAATTCCTTAACTGTAGCCTCTGTTTAACGCAACAGTAAAATGTGTACTTGGATGAAAAAACGATTCTTCGCGGCGGGGGATCGTATTCCAGGGACCATAGGATTAAGGACTTGCCCGAAACGCTACGCGTACTAGTGGCTGTACAAGAATGTAACAACTCTTTGTATATATCTCAAAAAAAAAAAAGAGATGGTAACGTTAAAACGAGAAAAAGAATAGAATGAATAAGAGAAGAAGAACCAGGCAAAACTATTATAATAAAAAATGAATGGCAGAAAAACAGAACACGAAGAAAAAATAACAAATAAAGAGAGATAGAAAACGGAAGGAAGAAGGAGCAGAAAATATCAGAATATACATAAAAATATATATAACAAACCCGAACTAAGAACACTGATGAAACAACTCTTAACTGCCCGATTAAAGCTAAAACGAGAAAAATAAGAATAACAGTAAGAATAAATTAAAAAAAGAGTCATTCTTGGCCCAAGAGGCACAACTGCGTCCGACACCACGCGTCAATAAGAGAGTTAGAGAGAGAGAGAGAGAGTGTCTTCACGCCCAAAGTCCATATCGTGGGGTTCGGATGGCGCTATTCTTTTGGGAGGACGCTCCGTCCTCTGAATGCTGCGACAAATTGTGAATAATGACTGTGTGTGTACTGGGTGGATGGGTGAGGGAAGGGGGGAGGGTTGGGGAGAAAGTGGGAAGGGGAGACACCGGTTGGGTGTGTGTTGGGGAGAAGTGGGTTTGGGGAGGGGTGGGGGAACAGCAGGAGTGGTGGTGGTGCTGAAGTGGATGAAGGTGGATGGCTGTGTAGGTGGGGATGGATTAGTGGGGTGGAGGTAGAGGAGAGTACTGGTGAGCAAGCTGGATGTGTTTGAACAAACCCCACAATAATATAGCGCCTGAAAAGGCAGAGGCAGTACATGTCAGGCAGAGACGCAGTAGCAGTATGTCTCTGCCTGAAAAGATGTGCGGAGTGGTTGTACTGTAGACGTCCCCCGTCACCTTGCACAACACCTGCACAACACCGTCACAACACCTGCTCACGCATCTCAGGTTCCGGTTGGCC